GTATGATTTAATTTGAATTCATTCTTCCAAGTCTCAAGTTAACGCTAGGTCAATAAAGCTGACAAACTCAATCTAACAGCCTATATAATCAAATAAAAAACGAAAATATGCATAGGTATACAATCGTTTTCTTAGAAGTTGTTTGACCTTGTTTTCACAACTTGGTCATATTGGTAGGAAGACTTAGAGGAACGCACCTTGTCCTGAGTCCATTGTATGCATAATTAGAAACTCGGTCATATTGGTAGGAAGACTTAAAGAAACGCACCTAGTCCGGAGTCCATTGTATGCATCATCGTCCCAAAGTCGGACCGTGGACGTGGTACATTCCCAAACGTTTCGCCGGCATCGACAGTGATTATCTCTGGAGAAAATGCACTAAAGGCCCTAATGGAAATCCTGGACCGAGAGGAGGATATCCTGGAATCACAACGGATCAGGAGGGAGTCGTTAACAAGACTAATCGACTTAACAATAAGGACCAACTATTTTAAATTCAACGGGAACATCTATGAACAAATATTTGAAATTCCCATGGGATCACCGCTCTCACCACTTTTGGCAAACGTATACATGAACAAAATAGAAGAGAGCTTCAAGACGGCATCGCTACAACCCACAGTGCTCATGCAGTACCTGGATGATTACGTCGCACTTTTGACATATGGAAGAGAAATACTAGATAATTTTCTGAAATTTGTAAACAAGGTTGATGCGAAAATTCAATTCACAATGGGAGTATAGAAAGGTGAGCGGTTGTCGTTCCTGGACGTTGAAATGATTCGTTCTAATGGAACGCTGGAGAAGAAATTGTTCAGAAAGAAGTCCTATGCTGGGATAATACACATTTTCCGATCCCATCACAATTACAGGCTAAAGATTGGAATAATGAGGAGCATTATCATCAGAAGCCTACGCCTGACGGGTGCAGATTTCTGGGAAGAGGAGCTGGGCAAATTGACTAGGATCTTCCTCGGTAATGGCTACCCAGGCGAAGTGATACAAATAAAGATACGGGCCGTAAAAAGCCGATGGCAGAACGGGGACTATGAAAGGACATTAAGGACGATTAAAGATTCACAAAGGCCTGCCTTCTTGTGAATTAACTCAAAAACTACGGCAAATATTGAGTAATAGGAATATTCAGGTGGTCATGAAGGAGAAATCAACACTTTTCACAAGTCTACCAGC